GAGCGACTCTGTGTGCTCTTCCACACGGCAGAAAACTCCTTAAAATGAGGGAGCTGCCATTGCCCTTTTTCCTGTAGGTAAATTAACCTGTCTTTCACGAACAATTCTGTTTAAAACAGGTTTGCCTTGCAACCTATGAAGAATTCTTTTGTGCAAGCTTGAAGTATGTTTTTATGGAGAAAAGGCCACAGAATAGTTCATCGGGATACACTTCTGTAATAAAATGACCTTTACCGGTAAAGTGCAATAATAAAATAAAGAATAATTTAATAAAGGGAGTTTTAACTCGTTTTAGAGGGAATAGATTCAGAACCATTTCTTGAAGTAAGCAGGTACACTGTATTCTTCTAACTGTAGTTTCTGCTAATAAATAACAGGTAGTAATTTATTCCTACTGCTTCTATCTTCTATGTTAGGGGACAGGCGCACTGTTCAATATAAAAACATTGATTTCAGGGAAAGTAGAGGCTAAAGATACAAGACCGACCTCTAGATCAGCCTCTGGGTAAGATGCATTACGGAGCAGCGCAGCCTCTTGAGACAACAGAGGTCCTGACCCTTGAGTCAATTAATACCAGATAACGCAAACCCCTGCAATTCAGGAGGAAAGCATGGGGAACAGGATCCTGCGATCCACGAGAAGTAGAAACTGCAGAGATGTAGCTCAGTGCTTACGTGGGAGCCCTGTGGGCCCTCTTCGCTGTCCTCAATTTAGTCTTTATCAGCTCCAGTCCACTCTAGCAGTTCTCTGCGGGACGGAGATTTAATATGGAGGCAATGCAGGGCTGGGCTGGATGGCAGCTCCGCGCTCCCCGCGGCACCACCTGCTCTTTGGAGCCGGCGCCCTGCCCGACACCTCAGCCTGGCGCCGTTTTGCGAGCCCGAACGGTGCGATCGGAAACCTCTAGAGGTCGGGCTGATCGCGAGCGCCGCTGCAGCCGCGCGTTCCGCTACGTGCGGGTGACATCTGCTGGAATCCGCTCCCCTTCCGCCGGCCGCCCTCGCATCCCGCCGGCCACGGCCGCCTCTGCCAGGTGCCTCGCTGCGTGAAAACCCCTGGAAAGAGACGTGGAGAGTGTGAAATAAATCCATGAAATCAGTTTTCGCCGTTGCAGCAGGTCTGGTCCACGTGGCCTCGGACGTCCTCAACTGCCCTTCTAGGAGACGTGGGGGTCCTGTCTCTCTGTCCATTGCCAATGTCCTTTACAAGGAGCTGTGGTGGAACGTGGCACATTGTGCGAAAAACCCTTCCTGGGCACTGGCACAGCACCACATGACGTCACTTAATGCCCATGAAACCCATGCTCAGCGTCCCAGCTCTGGCCATCCATGAGGATGGCAAATGTTAGTGTGACCACCCCTACAAGGAGAAGCCAGGAAGCCCCTGACTTCTTTATGTTATAACGTACCTGAGTATATTTAAACGCCTACTAGGACATATAACGTTGCTAATGAGCCCTTTTATACGATCCGCAGTTTTCTCCGGCTAAGCCCACAGGTGAGGGTCCCTTCGAGAGGACGTGAGCAGTGACCCTCCCAACATGGCGCCGCGCCTGCCCCACCCCGACGCCTCCGCCTGACCTTCCTCCCGTGAGCCTCAGCGGCAGGGCGCCCCTTCCCGGCTTCCCCCGCGCGGCGGC